CTAGTTAATAATTTATTAACGATTAATGTGTCATATCGAACTAACGTAATTGATAAGTAATAAGTTTTTCATTAATTTTTCATTTATATGAAATTTATTTATAAATATGATTATATTCATTTGAAAGGTTGGTTCCTCTCTTAATTTCATATATAAATTTTATTTAGAATTTTGCGATTGTTTAAGTAAATAAATTAATTGTTTATTGTTCGGTTACGGAGTGAGGATTGATAATTGAAAAACTCTCTAGATTAATCGTTAATAAATTATTAACTAAAAAGAATTTCATATTAAAATTTATAAAAGAAACTTGTTTGAAGTTCTAGCTTCAAGATACAAGTTTAAAAGTGTTAAAATTTTGTGCAGAAAATGAATAATTAATTAATTTTCAATATGGCGTTTTTGCTATAATAAAAAGTATGATGCGTTAATTGGTAATAAATAATTAATAAAAAAGAATTTCTTATTAAAATTAATACGAGAAGTTTGCCTAAAGTTCTAGCTTCAAGATACGAGTTTAAAAGTATAAAAATTTTGTACAAAAAATGAATAATTAATAAATTTTCTATGTAGCGTCAAAATGGTGGAAGAATGCTCTCTATCCTTCTCGCACAATGTTGCTTTCCTTCTCTATGACTTCACATACCTCCTTGCATATTCTGCTATGCTAGTAACAAATCGGAGCTTCGGTGATCCAAACGCGAGATGGCGTTGATCTCTAAACAAAATTTTCTGTCTAATTTATAGATGAAATGTGAATTATGGATTCTGTCAACAATCAATAGTTTATGAAATTAATGAAAGAAAGCAGCAATTTTTTATTATTCAAAAGTATTTATTTAAAACTATCGTAACAGAATTGTATGCATATTTATTTCAAAACTATAAATATGCAGAATTATTATGGTAAGTTAGAAAAAGGAAATTTGTTGGAAGATGAAGATAAAAAATATAAAAATATACATAAAATATATTGCAGTAAGTATATTGCATAAATATATATATGTGTGTGTGTATTATATGTTTTCATTTATTAAAAATAAAACTGGTAAATGTAATTACTTATTTAAAATTTTTTTATATCATTTAAATATTATCATATAAATAATATCATATAAATCTTTTAAAGGTATTTTGATTTCATAAAAAAAATGATGACCAAAAAAGGAATTGAAATATAATAAAAAAAATATGAAATGAAATATATATAAATGGGAAAGGTGAATATATTTAATACATATGTATAGTGGCGTGACAAAATTTTTGATCGAATAAATATCAAAAGTAACCTCAATTTCTTTTTCTTAATTTATGTTTCTTTTTCTTAATTTTCTTAATTCTTCTTTTTCTAATTTTGCTTTCTTTTAGTTTTTTTAATTATTAATATTCTAAAAAATATTCTAAAAAAACTATTATTCTATCCAATTAAAAATTATTGTATGCCACAATAACATGTAATAGAATATTTAGAGTAATAATAGTTTTATTTTCCGGTATATGATCATACCCATCGCATTACAATACAATAAATAGTGAGAGAACGACAATGTGTGTTCTTTGTGTCTCTTTTTATGTGTTAATATTAATATCTATAATTTTTTTTTAGGTACAACGATAACAATCTCGTCGAGGCGAGCATCATTCCTATTCCGAGGTGGAATTCAATTTAACGAGCCGTTGAATTTCACGAATCACGAATCTTCTTAAGTACTTATATATCTATATGTAATATATATATATATATATATATATATATATTATATCGC